ATACACTGCTGGTGGGACTGTAAAATGGTACAATCACTGTGGAAAGCAGTATAGTGATTCCTTAAAAAGTTGGAATTAGAAACACCATTTAACCCAGCCGTTCCATAATTAGGTATATATCCTAAAGAAGTGAGGCACCATGACAAGAACAGACATATGCACACTATGTTCATCACAGCACTATTTACAATAGCCAAAAGATGGAAACAACCTACGAGTCCATCAACTGAGGAATGGTAAACCAAACTTTGGTACATACACACAATGGGATGCTATGCAACCCTAAAGAATAACCTAGAATCTGCAAAACACCGCATAATATGGATGAACTTGGAAGACATCATGCTGAGGGAAATAAGTCAATCAAAGAAGGACAATCTTGTATTAGTCTGTTATTGTAAAAGTCAAGGAACGGTTTACATATGGGAGGAAATTTTCTTTGCTGGTTACCAGGGGTAGGAGGGGAGGGGAGGGAACACTGTTAGATAGATAGAGATAAATACTGATGTGGGTGAAGAGAAGGGCAATGTACTAAATGTGAGTGATCAACATGGTGGTGGCATTGAGGAAGAGGAAGACATAGAGAGGTACACGGGAGGTACAGACAACAAAGATGAACCTTTTTGCACATACAGTACTGTGTTGTCAGTGAAGGCAAACACAGGTATATGGGTGGATAGGTGGGTGGACAAGCTGAACTATTAGGTATGTCTATGTAGTGGGGAGTGTACCCAAAACCATGTATACAGTTGGCAGAGAATGGTCCTGTAAGTGTATTTGTATGTTCTGTAAGAATTCCCAGGTGTATATTAGAGCTGACAAGGGACAAGGTTGTAGTCACTTCTTGGTCACAGCCAGCTACCCAGAGGGACCGAGCAGTTGAACCAGTGGGCTCGGGTCCATAGTCACAGCGGACATCAAGCTCAATTGGCATAACATACTACACAAAACATTGTTCCACCTCCTACTTAGGCGAGTAGCGACTGGGATCTTAAAAGCTTGCCAGCAGCCATCTAGATGCAATGATGGGTCTCTCCTCGTCCAGAGCA